CTGTGCTGAAATTTAATGATGTGTCTGAACAACACAGTGCACTGACTACAGCATGGCCACATTCAGTTCCTTTCTAATGGCTCCACTTAGCTTTTTGGGGTGCAACCAGACCAGCAAAAATGCTGAGATTCCTCATTTCAAGCCTTACAAGAACAGACATTTATTTTAAAACAAAATTTAAAAAAAAAAAAAGGAAGCTGAAAAATGTCAGGTGTATATGCCACCAGGACTGTTGGGCCTACATGTGAAAACCTCAGTGGAAAATGAGAAGTGCATTCTCATTCAGTCTTTCATTTAGCTAATACAAAGTGTCCCTAATTGTTCCTGTGGCACTTGGTACGTGCTGGGGCAGGGCTGTGAGAGTGTTACCCCTCAGGGAGCAGGGATCGGCCTGGAAATGAGACGTTAATCTTGTCAGGCTGCCTGGCGTGTATGAAATTTTAACTAGATGAATCCTGGGACAAGGAATTTTGTTTAGAACTGCTGAATAATAATTGTGAAAGTTCTGGAAGTTGACTTTTCCTGCTCTGATAGCAGTTGTAATGACTCAAGATTAATTTTAGCCTTAAAAAAAAAAAAGGCGGTAATTGCAGCACTTAACACCCTGAGGCAAATCAGTGGAAATGCTTTGGAAAGGATAATTATACCTGCACGAAGAAGGCTGTTTAATAGCATTAGCAGGTTCAATTAAGGAGAAGTGGAAGAAGAACCAATTCCTTACTTCTTTAACTGTTCTCTGAAAAAGAGGGTTTGATATGCGAGCAATAGAAATCAATTTTTTTTCTACGGTTATTCCCCAAGGTTTAAACATTTTTGAGGACTGTTGGGGGGATCTTGTCTCTAGTTGTCATGAATTGCCTAACATCAGAGACATGCTGGTGTTCTACCTGCCAAACAAGAGAGGGTTGGGTGCCTTTATGTGGCAGGCATTTTATTTCACATCGTTAACCTAATCTCGCCATAATCCCAATCTAAACAGCCATAAAGAGATTATTCCTAATGCAAGGAAAATGGGAGAAGAAGAGGACTCTTTGTTGCTCCAAACCAGCAACAAATTTGGGCTATTTTGCCACTGATAAGAGCTAGAGCAGGCTGCAGGCTGGCTGAATGCAGTACAGGATCTGCAGCCACAAAGCTTTCCCCAGGGTTTGCCTGCTCTAACATAAACAGTGGTGTATCTTTACGTGTGGGTGTGGAGCAGGTGTGTGCATACACACACCTCATTTGCAAACTAAGGCAGGGATTTTGGGGTCAACACCTTGGAGAACACACTTGCATATATAAACAGGCATGAATTTTACCAGGGGCAGTAGAGGGAACAGAGTTTAAGAGGGGTTTAATCCTTCCATGAACCCTTATCTTTCATTTCCTTGCTGTAGAGCTGGCATTGCTTCTGGCACTGTCCTCAGATCTTGAGCGGTCAAAAAAAGTTTTAATTAAGTTAAAAGCAAAGTGCACAACTCTCTCTGTGCAGTTGCACAAGGGCAGTAGCACTGTACAGAAAGGGCTGCACTATCTTCCTCAGAGTCCTAGCACAGACAGGATTTTCTCTGCCAGTGGTTATTCTGAGCTTTCCAAAGCAGCCTTTTACCAGTTGGAATTGGGAGAACAACAGTTAGGCAACAGACAGCTCTACCTTTGTTAAAGCAACAAAGCAATACCCCTGTCCTCTGTTATGTAGTCCAGGTAGGGAACAGCACAAAGGCTGTTCTGCGTATCAGCTATGGGTTTATTTCTGTACCTACCCACAGATCAGTGCATAAAGATGTATATATTTATACTTAGAGTATTAAACCAGCGTTCCAGAACAAAAACAGTGCCCTGAATTCATTTATACCTGAACAAGTCCCACAGAAACTGATAGAAGATTGATGTTAATCACGTTGTTCAGGGCACTGGTTGGAAGCTGTCAGCCAGCACTGCCTGGAACATAAAACCACCATCAGCATGCTGGCTGTACCCCCAGAACCCACTGCAAAGATTATGAAGTCTAATTACTTACATACAGTGAACAAACACACCATTAAACCAAGATGATGTAATCAGGAAAAGAGTAACTAGATGTTTCAGAGTTAGAAGTTCCTAAGCTAGAAGGAACAATAAAAAGCATTTTAATTTTGCAAAAAGTGAGTCTGACAAGGAGTTTGTTTCCTCGTGTTTTCACATTGTCAGTGGACAGAAAGTCAAACAAGCTGAACATCACAGAGTGCTATAGGAGGATACTTGCTCTACCATGCACAAAAAAGATATTAATGCATAGCCTGAGAGGTGGTATGGCTGGAGCAGCAGGAGAGAGATGAGTGCTTAGCGGGAGCAAGAGGTTTATTAAAGTCCAGATCCTACAGTAGCTTTACATAGTTTTATTCAAGCAGAGTGATCTAGTCCAAAGAGAGGTTCCCTGAGCTCTGCACTGCAATTAATCTTCCCATTCTTTTGATTAATTGCAGACACGTACCTTATTAAATGACCCTAGTGCATTTCCAGTCCCCTAGCAGCACGCGGTCTGCTGGTGCTTGATGACTAGCAAGGAAATAACTGACCACAGCACATGAATTTAATGGGCCAGCCCTTTAATAATTAGTAAAAATATGAATGACACCACAACAGCCTCTCTTCTCAGTCTCAGTGGGGGCTAAAGGAATATGCTGAAACTGTTACCTGTTGAGGTTTTTTTTTAACAGTTAGTTACTTTTGCCTCTCCTAATCAAAATGATGCCTATATTATGCCTATTTAAATATAAAAGCTCATCATTCTCCTTGAAAATAAAATTTTTTTCTTATGACAGAAATGAGAAAAATGCAATGATTTCAAAAGCACATTGAAAGCCACAGCAGATCCCCAGAAGAGACTGCACATTTCATGGTCTTCTCTGATGGAAGGACAGCACCAGCCTCTCAAGCACATAGCTTTTATCAGCTCTGCGTAAGTAAAGAAAGTGGTTAAGCAATGTACTTGAAAAATTTTAATTCTCATCCTACGTGAGGCTGCTGAGCTGATTTTCCATTGAATCCATTTTATAAAAACCTAATTGCAAAATTGTGTGGAGTTGGGCTAAGTTCTGAATTTTCCTATGACTTGAGTAAATTCAGCCTAGATAATAAATTCTCACTTCATCTTCTTTCAGTATTAATGCATAGACATGACTGAAAAACAACCAGCTTGGACATGTCACTGTAAAGCACGCAGTAAATTATAGACCCTGCTCTGAAATTTAGTGAATGCATTAATACTGCTCATGCAACTCCATTGAAAAAGTCTTTATTTTGGGGAAGCAGAATGCACCTACCTCATTCTATGTATGCAAAGCCCATTCTTTTCCAGCAGGTAAGTGAACAAGAATGAGGTTAAACAGAAATGGTGTTTGTGGAGCCAAAAATATCAAACAACCCCACACCCTAAACAGCAAGTCTCTTCCTCATCAATATAAAGGCAGAAACAGAATCAAAGCATCTTCACTTTTTCCTGTCACCCTATTCATTCAGTAGAATCAGAGATGTTTGTTTAATAGTTAGCCCTAGAAGTAGCACATTTCTATTATTAGAATTACAAACTTCTTAACGTTGACTCTAATGACAGACCAAAAAACTCTGACCCTGCTGCAGTGCCCAGGTGCAGTGCTCTCTTCCTGTACCTAAGCAGCTTAGACTGATGGGACTTCAGACATCCATATGCAGTACAGAGAATATAACTGCCAATATTTCAACATTTCACAAGTAGCATTATTTTCTTTAAAACGTCCTTCATGGTGGATACAACCTCCCAAATGAGGAACACAGCAGATGAGTAGGTGGCAAAGAAATACAATTCTAGCATCTTGGCCAAATTCCAACTTCAGTAATTATACCCTGCTCTTAAAATTCCCCCTGCAGCTCTACTAGAATAAAGCTCTTTTTCAGCTTGTCCTGAAGCATTGTGTAGTATTTCTGTGAAGCTGTACAACACTGAAAAATATCTCCTCCCATCAAAATTGCAAGGGGAATTTAGGTAGACAGAAAGCTATTACCAGAGTTTGAATCTGGGCAGAGCACCAAGGTTAACTTACACTTGCATTGGGATCAAGGGATCTTTGCTGACTAGGGCTGTCAAACCCTTGTTAGAGAACACAAGTGGGAAAAGCTCACTGCACTGCTGGAATGCAAACTCAGAAACTTGGGATCTCTGCACCTGGAAGTGACTGCAGGAATGTTTCCTAACAAATGACCCTGTATAACAGCCTATGCTGCCTTAGAGTATCTTATTACAACCTTATTTGGTTATTTAGTACTATTTCTGAAATTACTTGTTGATAAAAAAGCTCCAGCAGCTTTAAAAAGAAAAAAACAGAACTCCATATTAAAAAAGTATTTAGCAACAGAAAAGCAACTATATAACCCAATTGTCCAAGGGAAGTATTTGAATTTCAGTCAGCAAATATACCAAGAACTCTGAGTAGGCCTCCAGTAGTAGTGAAATGTTTTACATCATGCTGAACAGTTGCAACAGTTCTCTTATCCTCTAAATTTGGACTCAGAATATTTAGGTAACTGACTCCCAGATTAGCTTATACCCAAACCTAAAAGTCACTCTTACTAAACTAGAACAATTTAGAAAAATCACTGTACAAGTTCCTGTAGAAAGGAAAAAACCCCTTTTAAATCCATCCACAAAAATCAAGTCTGTTTGCCACTTGTATTTTTTGCCTATTTTTTTCTTCCTGTTGTTGCCTTTCTCTTTCCAGACGAGAGCAGATGTAAACCTGGTGCTCCTATTTTGTTAATCCTATTCTTTAATCTCAATTTTCTCATATTTTCTTGTCCACAGGCACCTCAAAATCACCACTGCCACCACAGTAGTAACACCAGCAACCAGCTGTCTCATGCAAAACTCTGTTGGCTTTTCATCAACATAGTAAATCCAAATAAAATAGTAAAACAAAGTAGTTTTTCAATATGCAGCACATCTCCATTGACAGAGACAGTTAGTGTCCTGTTAGAATGACTTGCAGAGTCACCTTTTTTACCTTTTTCAAAGTAATAGACTAGATGAGCAGTATCTGCATCACACCTAGATGTCTTGTGCTGGTTCAGGCGGGCTTGGGTCCGTGGGGAGTTGGACTCGCGGGCTGTGATGTACCTGGGGTGCAGTTTGTATCTGCTCTCAAACAGGTGTCTCAGGGCGTTTGCTAGGTCGGGAACATCAAAGGCACTGGTCCTTTTGTTGTGCCTCAGTTCAACGTAGATCTGGGTTGTTGTGACCAGTTCTCCACAGCTCGGGCTTTTGTCACCCTTTTCAGCTCCAAGTCTTACTCCAGCAGCGGCCACACAGCAGCAAGTATTGGGCTGGTTGCGCCGCGTGACTTTGAAGACACCACTCTCCTCGCAGTCTGGATTCCAAAAGCCATCATTGTCCAACAGCCCACAGCGATGGCCCCAGAAGCCCTTCTCCTTTGCAGAGGTCATTTCTGCCCTCACCAGGAAGCCCTTGGGAGTGGGTGGTGAGCAGCTGACTTCGTGCTTTGAAGCGACCAGCGTGCAGTTCCCTGGTGTGTGCTGGGCACAGACCGTCCCCTTGTTGGTCACACAGGTACAGCTGCTCTGTGCTGCTGAAGCTACTGCCAGAATCAAACCCAACAAAGCCCCAAAGACAGGCTCCATGTTGCAAGTGAAAAGTGTAGATTAAGTCCCAGGTGACAGCAGGCAATATCTGAAGCTTTAATCCACTCACAGGGTCTACTTGTTTCTACAGACTGGTGAGCTGCTCCCTTTATCAAAGATTCAAATGACAGCCACCAAACAGGTTGTTTCCGAAACAACTGGAATCTCAAATCCTAGAGCCATCAACAAGCTGCATTTTCACCTATTATTTCTCAGGGAATGGCACCGATGCCTGCCTCCAGATACCTGCCGTCCCTCTTGCTTCATAGGAAACAACCTGAAGCATAGCTCCTACCTTGGCCTCCCTTGTGGCTGAAGGCACAGCAGCTTGCCCTTTACCTTCTTTAGCCTTTATATGGACTAGGCAAATGCACGTTTAAGGAATTTCTCCCATTTCTGTCAGAAAAAACCCTACTCCTTTGCTTCCAGGATGGTTTTTCCTGCATCTTCCATCACACAGACACTGATCATTCCACTGTCTAGATTCTTACCAGTTACAGACTTCTCCCTTTCATATATTGATAAAATAAAGCTTTTTGGAGCTCTGTGTATGCTGCCTGAAGTAGCTGCCAGTTCAGGAGGAACAACTACTTGCCAGTTTGATGCCTGCTCTCCTACTAGCAGAGCGCAGAAGGCTTCTCTCCCCCCTTTCCTTTGGCACATACTCATCCCAAGGCAGTGCTAGGAATGATGACTTTCATGCTTGCATTACTCTTACAAAGCTGTTAGCTGTTTCTGAAGAAATTTTTCAGTCTGAATTTTGAATAATGCCTTTCACAGTACACTCCAGTAGCTCCCGAGCACCCTAATGATCTCCAAAGCCTGAGTTACCATTTCTGTGTGTTTTGGCAGCAGCTGAAAGACATTTTCCAGTTTGCATGAAGCAAGTCCTGTTCATCTGCTTTGACAAACACCATCAGACACTTTATAAATAGTTATTTTGGGACCAATAGCAACCACAGAACGACACGTACGCCACCCTCCCACCCACGCTGCCTCATGATCAGCTCCTTGTGCCTGTCCTGCTCCAGTCAGCGTGAGCTGGGCTCTGTGTAGCGATGGATTGTGTCTGGGTGAACAGTGGGAAGTTACCTGGCTGCCAACGAGGATTTGTAATACAGTACAGGTTTAAAATGGGAGCTCCAGATGTATATACCTGCTGCCACTACAGAAGGGCACAGTCTGGAGTTAAACTTCGCAGCTAGACCCATTTCTAAATAAGCCACAGCAAAACACGCTACTTGAGGGAGTGAAGATGAGACAAGTTCTTTTCCACTGACTTTTTCTTGTATTGGTGGATTTTCCCCTTTGTAATTAAGGGAAGAACAGACTTGTTTTAAAGACAAAAGTCTTTCCAAATATCTCTATATAAATCTGTGCATATGTAATGCCTCTATGAAGCTAAAAAAAGTATTTCCTTTAATCCATGCTAAACTGTAACAGCATTACAGGAGTTAATTATTTAGAACAGCAGGCTGTAAAAGGAATAATCCTGCAGGAACTGTGGAGTGCATTATTTCTTTAGTGATCTCTGCTTCCATGGAAACAATTTCTCGGCACAATTCGAAATCTCGTAAAAATAGGGCACTAGGTCTATGTAAAACAGCAAGACATTTCCAATTAAACAACCAGAATGCTTTTATCTAGGCCATTAAATACTTTGCTCAGTACCAAATATGATTACAGCATTTGCTGGGATGTTAACAACCAGCTCCTTCCTGAGCGCCGACTCTGCGGGGCCGTGTGAAGTCACCCTGCAGGCATCCTGCTGTCCCCCGCCCCCTCAGCGGGCGAGTTACACCCAGCACACCAAACTCTCTGCTAGCACAGCAGGAAAGAGTTAACGTGGCTCCTGGTAGAGCTAGAAACAACACGCTCGAACCAAATTTGGGTAATAAATATAGTTGTTTAAAAGGTAGTCTGAACATCACCTTCAGAATCGGCTGGAGTTGCCCCTGAAAACAAACCCAGCATGTTCACACTTCAGTCCTCCTACAGCCACGGAAAACAGGGATCTGCCACCCTGGCACCCCTGCCACAAAGTGCCACAGGATCGTTTTCTGAAGGAGACTAAAACAGGTGCTTTGTAAGAAAAATGAAAGGAACAAATCTATCCCAAGTTACAGGGCTACTGACTGCAGGATTTACTCACTAGCCAGAAATTTACACTCGGCAACAAAAGTTTTGCTCTCCGTTGGAACAGTTTTTCGCATGGGCTGTGACAAAGCTCCCCCCAGTGGTACTACACCTCGCTGATCGCCTGTTACTGGTACCGACTCGGAGGAAACCCCCGCCTGAGGCTCAGGAGAGCAGAGGCTGTTACAAAGAGGAACACCTCTCTCGAGGTCCTGCACATACAGGCTTTATTGCTAGGCTCTTGTACTCTGCCAGGAACAGCAAAGCAGCAAGCAAAGACACAAAAAGTACTTAATATCAATGGCAGCTGTTGACTTTTTCTGTTTGGCTGGTCTAGGGTTTTTGTTGTTCTTGTTTTCCTCAACTGAATTTTCTTGGAAAGATACTTATTAAAAAAAAAAGGTCTGGTCATTCTCCTCTTCCCCTGGAACACAAGGAATACATCCCTGTGACAAGCACTGCCAAACTGGGCTCAGCCAACAAATGCTCAGAAAGGCTATTTGCCAAAAGTTACATCTTGGGAGCTTTGGGTCCTTCAGTTTAAAATGGATAATGTAACTTTGCCACTCAACCACTTCCCATCTCCTGAGCAACAGCCTGGTGAGGTCTAACGGCTGGTCTTAGGTACAGGAGAGGTGTGTTAGGCTGCCACAGGCACACTCATGTGTTCAGTAGCAGAACTGGTAGTATTAGTAACATAGATTTTAATCTTTTTAGAAGCATGAAACTTCCAAACTCATATCATTAACACAGACAAAAGGAATGATGAAAAGTAGGTTAGTTATTTTCCTACCATGGCTCCTGCCAATCAGATTATTACTTAGCATCACAAAAAATGGTATTTCCAGTTCATGTACCATATTGTATAACACAGGGTTGGGATGGTTTGAGCAGTTCTGTTCCCTGCCACACCACCCTGCTAATGAACTCTTGGACGATCTGGAACCTACTCAGTGAGGCTCAGTGCTGCACCATCTCCTCAGGAGACAAATGCCTGCAGAAGTAGTGTTGTATTCAACCTTTTCTTATGTAACTTCACTGCTAAATCCAATTAATCCAGCTGTATTATTGAACTTATTTTAATCATCAAACAGAGAAGCAGCCAGCACACTGTTACCACCAAGTGGCTAACACTGACATCTATCCTTCCGTGGCTGGAAATAGATCATATGTGGACAACAAATATTATCTACTCCATCCTGCTGTTACACTAGAGGTTCAAAATTCTCTTCCTACCAATCAGTACCAATTACAGCCTTTAGCACATTTATTTATATCATGTGATTTTTCTAGAGAGTGACCTATGCAGAACTGCAAAAGAATACCTTACACTGCAGAGTACTCCCCAGCTAAGGGGGGGAAGGAATGCATTCTCACCAGGAGTGGAGTTCAAACTAGAAATACCAAAAGACATGCAGTATTTTTAATTAGGAAGTCCCAAAGATGACATTTTAGAATATACACAGAGTCAGCATGCCTTATAGAGATGGATACACCAAGTCCCTAAATTACATGTAGCAGTGGGAGCTAAAGCTGCACACCAACATTGGAGAGAGCACAGAACATTCACCAATATTTTTAAGTCCACAGCTCTTGAATTTGTGCTGGGAGAATCACCGAGTATTAAGGGCTCACATTTTCATCAGATCAGGTTCTGCACCTTCCACTTAGTAACAGAGAAAGACATTTCATGAGGCATGATAAAAAAAGTCATGTTAACTTCCTGTACAGGGGTTCCCTCCTTTGGAAGCAACTCTACAATGTTACAGCTTTTCAAACTCTTTATACAAATGAAAAGCTGACGTTAAAAATGTAAACATATAAAATCTTAAAATTCCATTTCTGTTTTGTAGATCTAGATATATACACGTGCATATATATATATATATATATAT